CCCCCCCCCCCTCCCAATTCCCTCTTCTTCCCCAGCCCATTTTACTTGTATCTGTTTTGTTTTTTATGAGTACATAAAAATCTAACAGAAAAGCATGATCTCATCGACACACTAATCTGAATGTGGCGTTTGTGAAACTACGCACGTGAGAACAAAATCGAGCTGAGTCAACGGTGAGCACAAAGTAGGGGAATGAAGAAAGAAACGACACCCCGTAGGGGAAGGAAGAAAGAAACGACGCCTCCAGGCTGACATCAGCTTCGGCACAAACCATGAAAAGGAAGTGTTCTATTTCCATCCAGTGAATCCCAAATAACGTAATTAAGTCCCATTTCCACTTTACAAGCCCATTAACAGCTTCTAAAAGATTTCTTTCTCCAGAGACGAACATCAAAGTACAGAACCTCATCAAAAGTTTTAACCCCCCCCCCCCCCAAAAAAAAAAACACAAAAAAACACAAAAAAACAAAGAAAAGAAAGAAAGAAACAAACAAACAAACAAACCAAACACACACAACAAAACCAAACGCAAACACAAACAAAAACAAAGAGCCCTCATTGAATGAGTAAGCTTAGCCTACAGGCCTGTAATGCGTGACGTTAAGAAACCCACCCAATCAATAATTCAAGAAGCAATCAATGAAAAACGAAATCGATGGCTCCATCAAGCTCTCGTCATTTCCTTTGTCTGTTTGTCAAGTAGCTGGTCTGTCATGTGCTCTCAGTGACAGAGGGTTTTTGTGAATATTTGTCACAGCTCAGTAGAATCAGGTGCTTGTCAATTTGGGGGTACACATGCATAAAGTTATTAGTATCATCTGAAAGTTTGTTTGTTTGTCCTGTTTCTGATTTAAAGAATACCAACTTAATTTAAATCGAAATCGAGATATTTACGAAAAAAGAAGGGGAGAGGAGGGCTGTCTTGTGTCAGAGGAAAAATTAATGACAAAATGGTTGCCAAAGTTTTGTGACTTCCAAGGCAATGGTGTTCTTTTGATATAACGATTTCTCATATTTGTGTCCCTTTGATCAACATATTCTTTAAGGAGTCCAAACAAAAGTGTACTTTAATGGACATAAAAGGTGTTAATCCAAATTAAAAGAAAAGTAGAGTAATTAAAAAAATCAATGTAAATTTCCCAACAGGCGGATACAAACTAGATTTTCTCGAGTTAATTATTTTGACAAGCGCCTAATCACACAAATGCCACACACAATAATAAAGTTCACCCAGCTTACCATCTCACCAATCATTCTGCTACCCGACCGACCAACCAAGTTACTTTTTAGTCGTTCATTTAGACAATAAAACTAAAGACAACAGATTCAATGCTAAAAAAAAAAAGGATGACTAGATAAACAATAATTTTTTTAAACAGTCAATTCATAGCGTAAAACGCACGGAATTTAATATTATCATTATCATTTTCATTATTCTTATTCTTATTCTTATTCGTCTTATTACTATTATTGTCGTTGTTAGTAAAATGAATAATCGATTGGCTGGTAGGACCATGGATTAATCATGCGAGCAGTCAATCAGTCCATCGATCAATCGATGTACTACGACCAACTGTCAAGGCGATACCAAAACAACCGATCAATAAATCAGAGGGGGGGGGGGGGGGGAGGGGGTAGCCTTAGTAGCCTTTTTACGGCACTTTGCTACCTCATAAATTCAAATTTCTGTCTGCACACGACCTAGTTTAGAGAAATTTGATGTAAGAGATTTTGAGTTTCACATCATGTCAAGCTTTTCCGAAAGCAGTTTTTTGAATATCACGATAACGACTTCGAATAATCTTATGTTTTTTATATGAGCAGATAGAATATTTGATTTTTGATTTTATCGTCTTAGTAACTCAGTACGGTCAATAATGTAGGGTAGAACATTGTAATGCTGAGGTACCGGCTTGCGACATAATGAGGCCATAAGGTCATATAACTGCCGATAATCACAGGTGTAACAAATCATTAGTTTAGTTTTTAGTAAGTCAGTGTTTTACGGCACTCGCAACACAATAAGGTCATGTAAGTGCCGAAGATTAGAGGTGTTACAAGAGAGTAACAAACACAAAAAGAAGGAGGGAAGATAAAGACGATAGGTGTTTGATAGGAAAGAAGAAGAAAACCACACCAGAGCACCCGCCAACCAACAACTAACAAATCATTAACAAACCCCAAAAAAGAAGGAGGAGATAAAAGGACGATACATGTTTGATAGAAAAGATGGAGCAAACCACACAAGAACACCAAACCCGCCAACCACCCACAATAATCGTTACAGGTCCATCAAACTTGGCTCCAGGAGACTCACGCTGGGGCTCTTGTGGCCTTGAGGTTATGGTGCTTGCCTCTTATTCAATAGGTCCTGGGTTCAAATCCGGACAGTGACGACAAATTTTCTTCGCTAAAAATTTTCTCCTTTGGCATCCTTTCCTGATCTCTAACAATAATCTGTCGTCTGCTTTCGTCTCCACCTTCTACCACCCCTCATCCCGTTTTCCCCCTCCCCTGGACTCCGGACTCTTTCAACAGCCTCTCCACTGCTACACTTTGGCCCCTTCTCACTGCTGTCTTTCAGCCACACCCCCGATTGTATGGAAGGTAAGATCTAACTCCTAGCCTCCTCGGCAAAGGGAAAAAAATCTCGGAGGTCAAGTGTACAAGTTGTGCACGTTAAAAATCCCTTGGTGGTCCAAACTCGATAAGAATTGGCTTCGGCCGGCAAAATAAAACAAATTCCTACTAACTCAAAACGTTTATTGTGTCCCAGGCGCTCATAATATTATGAACTTATGCAGTTGCAAGCGCCGTAAAACACAGAAAAATAGACAGACAGACAGACAGACAGACAGACAGACAGACAGACAGACAGACAGATAGATAGATAGATAGATAGATAGATAGATAGATAGATAGATAGATAGATAGATACAAAAGAGACTCACCCTGCCCATCCGGCCGTCAGAGGTGAGGTTCAGGAAGCTAGCCCTCTCGTGCAGGTTGTGCATAGTGCTAGCCCGGCGGCCGGGGTTCGGTTCCTCCCACAGGCTTCCCTGACTGGCGTGGAGGAAAGACTCATCCGCCGTGGTGATGTTGGCGGTGATGCGGGGGTACTGGCTCGGCTCTACCTCTTCCACCTGGCGAGGGGGAGGGGGGGGGGGGCGTGATAATGAATAATAACAATAATTATGATCATAATAATAAAGATATTAATATTAATAGTAATTTTTAAAAATATTTTTGAATTTTACTACAACAAAAAATAACAGTAATATTATTATTATTAATAATAATAATAATAATAATAATAACAATAAAAAAAAAAAAATAATAATGATATTAAATGATAACGAACGACTCGTCCGCCGAGATGATATTGATTGTGATGCGGGGGTACTGGCTCGGCTCTACCTCTTCCACCTTGCGAATCGTTAATGATAACCTTAATAATGATAATAACAATAACAATGATAATAAGAATGTTAATATTACTAGTAATTTTTTTTAAATGATAATAATAACAGTATCAATAACAAGAATAATAATTAATGATAATAATAATAATAGTAATAGTAATAGTATTTTTAATTAATAATAACAGTATCAATAACAATAATTATTGATAATAATGATATTATTAATAATAAGAAAAAAATAAGAATAATGATTATAATGTTAATAAAGATACTAAAGTGAAGAAAAAGAAGAAGAAGAAGAAGAAGAAGAAGAAGAAGAAGAAGAAGAAGAAGAAGAAGAGCAACAACAACAACAACAACAAACATCATCAATAACAACAACGACAACAAGAGCAACAACAGTTCGAACGTCAATATCTAACAATGACCAATGCATCTACAGTGGAGAATATTTCTTAAGAAGAAAATAAGAAAAGAAATAATGGTACACATTATCACTTATTCCTTCTGCTATGGCCTAAAATAGTAGATTGTAGGGCAAGCAAGCGTAAACGAAACATTTCAACAACACATGTGGCATACAACAGTCTCTCGGGTCGCTACTGACCTTGAAAGACGTGACCTCATTTTCGATGATAGGTATGAGGTGGTGTTGGACAAAGTCCTCCACCTGACCTTGAGACTCGTCCGTCGGTGTTTTTTCTTCCTTACTGCTGCCGTCTTCCACTTCTGTGGTGCCTAGAAAACGGAGGGGGAGGGGTAGAGGGAAGAGGGGGGGGGTGGGGAAGAGGGGTATGAAGGGGAAGGGGGGGGGGGGAGGAGGAAGGAGAGAAGGGGTGAAGAGAAGAGGAAGAGGTAGGTCGGAGAAGGAGAGACGGGGGTAGCCATGAGGAGAAAAAAGGGTGGGGTGGGGTGGGGGTGGAAGAATTAACGTGTTTTAAATGAGTAGGTCTTTCGAAGTACATATTATAATAATGATAATAATAATAGAAAAAATAATACAAAGAAGAAAAATAAGAACAACAAAACAACAACAACAACAACAAGAACGTTGCTGCCAGCTGTGCATCTATTATTATTGTGGTCTGAATCTATTCCCGGTGGAACAGATTCAAAACAATTAACATAATGTCAAGCCTTGTCAGATGTGAAACTCCGGCAAACAGGAAATGTAACACACTTATAAATAGCTTCTTTACTTTCGCCTGTCAGCTTTTAAACAATTCCAGCTTTTAATTATTATTAATTTGCCAAAGCGCATGAAACTTAACGACCAAACAAAATATTTTTTTCAATAATCTTTATTCAGTAATAAAAACGTTTTTGTTTTTGTTTTTGTCTTCTGGGTGTAAATATTGTTTGGCTCCTATATTATTAAGTACGCACACATGATCACCACAATAATATAATATATGATTTACAGTAATCTGGCCTACATATTGCTACTACTGATACCTCCATGCCCCCATATGTTATTGCATGTGTGTCGATTTCCTTCCGAGGCCATCTTTAAATCTCCACTTGAGTCTCGAATGTACTCACCCCGCCTGTTCGACCGTGTTTCTCAGGCGTGTGCTATGGCCTGGGGTTGATGATTTTGTTGTATGTTTAGGTGTATGCTGTAAATATCTTATTATTGCTTGACCCGCATCAAGCTAGCATCAAACAAAACGTGTCGGAACCTTAGTTTGCAGTGACCTTCATTAATCGGCTTTGTAGATACTGTTGGCCATCTACCATTTAGACCCGGATGCAAAGACCTGTGAGATTGAACGGAGCGATTTTTTTGGTGTTTATAAGTTGGACTTCTAAAATCTTGTTCAAAAGAAATGGAACGAGCTATATCGGAAATGCTCCAACTTCTTTCCTATCAAACACCTATCGTCCTTAACCCTCTCCTTTTTGTGTAACTTTTTAAAAAATAGTTTTTCTTGACATTTAGATATATTTTCGAATTGAATCAGCAATTTAAAGACTACATGTCAGCAGAAACAAATCGGAAAATTTTCAAACAGCTACTCGTAAATAATTCACTACAGACTAACCAGCACACACAGCACAGAACATGGTAATGTCTCCTCGCAATTATCCCTGGGGATGAATTAACCACAGCAAATCAACATTCTACAGTGTGTGGACTGTGGATACTGTTGCTGTCATTTAGGAGAGACTGACTGACTGACTGAAAGGAAAATTGAAGTCAGAAGGAAAAAATCAATAGGGACGAATCAGTGCCCACCAGCTGTGCGCTATAATCCACGGTGACTGGTGAGGTCAACTGGTAAATGTGTCGCGATATGGCGGAATTTGGCGCTCATCAGTTTGGGGGAAAATTGAAATATTTGTACGAAATTAATAATATATCTATCTTTTCAAACCGGTTTATTTCCCTTGCTTTTAATGAAAAATCATAATTAATAATAGATATCATTTGTATAGCGCAATTCCCTGGTCAACAGCAAGCTCTGTGAGCTTTACAATCTATACTATTACCACAGCGGACCTGAGAGCTTTCTGAAACAACCTCAATTTCCCGGGAAGCAAACAGTGCAAGCAGCAATTTATAGGCGCTAAAACACTAACATACTGACAATTCCCATATATAATATGGTCGCTTTTAAGGACAAGCGGGCTAATCTAAATTTCGGGGGTGTAAATCTTGATCTACACCTAAAGTGGGCATTGCCCTACCTA